GGGGAGGGGCGGCGGCGGTCGCGGGATTGGCGGATTACGCGAAGAACGACGGGGTGGCCGAATCGATGGCAGGAGCCGCAGAGCTCTTATCGCCGTGCTATGAACTATTAAGAAATGAAAGCATCACGGCTCGCTAAGTGCCTTCATGGCTTCGTTTTTAAACTCACTCCTTAAAATTGCCTTCATTAGTGTAAGTAATTGCATCGTAAATAGTACAAAGTTGGACTCGCCCGCTCGAACGTGGCCGAGGAAACCGCTTCGAATTGAAAACGTTTTGCCACTCCGCAGGCACAAAGATACTTGTGCGACTTCTTCCACGCTCCGCCCTCGCCGCCCTCGCCGCCCCGCCGCGCTCCCGTCCGCTCACCGCCTCCCCGCCCCGCCCCTCCCTGCCCTTCCCGCTCGCCCCTACGCCATCCCGCCCCACTCCTCCCTACTCGCCCCCCTTCGGCGAGCGCCGGTTTTGAGCCGAGGCGAGCTTTAATAGACTTTAATACTTGTTAAGAGTAATATACCGCAAAACTGGCTCACGCCCCTTATCTGCCCGCTTTTTCGCGGGAGGCATACATCTTGGCAGTAATTTGATGTGACATCTACTTAGACATGCGGTGGTCTGATTCCCTCGGGAAGCCTTCTAAAAATAGAAGCATACTCATTATTTGGAAATTCCCTTTGAAAACGACTAAGATTTCCTATTAATGCACGAAAATGCAAGATGTTGTAACCATAAAATATTCTGTTTTTATATACTACGATTTGCAGATCGACAATGATGGTAGATCACAAAAATTACTTTGATCTCTCAGCATTCTATCAATGATTTGTAAAATCTGTGGCATACGTATGCACTTGTAACTACATGAAAACTAATAAGTTCATGAATGAAGTTTTATATTAATTCGTGATGTTTAAAATTGAAAGACTAGTTGAGAGGAAATCAGAAGCAAAATTCCTGTAGGTTTGAGATACAGGCTGTCTATCGAAGAAGTGAAAATCAATAAAGGGTCAAGTCAATTGGTCATGTGTTATCCTGGCCTAGAGTGAGAAAATGAAAACAACTATTCTGAAAAGTAAGATGATTGTTTATAGAGAATCGTAGTATGGTCAACAAGAAATACTGATCATTTTTTATGATAACCATCTTTTTCAGAGCCATTAAATTGCTGATCAACTTCGAAATTCGTGTGAATATTCTACCTATATTTTTTAAAAGCCTCGTAAACTAAAAAAATAAAGTATTCCACGAGATAATACATGGCATTTTTTACACATTTATTCAAGAAAACATATCTTGTTTTCTTTTCAGTGGCAACAAAATTATTTTATTATTGGGATAATGACGGTATAATGTAGATGAATACTATTCAAAGATTGTAAATCATAAAGAATATATACTACTTAAGAGCACGTAAGTTTGCACAAGACCAGAGCAAACATATATGACATCTACTTCGAATAATGCCATATTCTTAATTCTATCGTTGTCTTAATAGATTGAAGAACCCTGCAAAATATCTCTTTCAGGAATTTGTTTAAAAACACAATATCTATCAGTTGCGTGTACAATCTTAAATACTTCGATTATAAAATGTTCTGTACACAAATAAAATTTTATTAATTAAAACTATAACAAATGAATAGTACAGGATCCAATCTATCAGAGACGCTTGCTGAAAGCAGTGACATACAGTAATAAAAGAGTTTTTATGGTAATCTTGCTTCCCGCGCCATCCTAGTGAAGCATCAAAAATTGCGTTTATAGTTGAGGCAGACATTTAGTTTCACATCATGTTGTTTTATTGTATTTTGTTTGTAAAGAACTGTCTATTCTTGTTTTTTGTAGTATACTCGTTACTATACAATTCATAAGGGACAAATGCCAATTGATGTAGGATATTTCAGTTTTTCTTGTGCCAGTTGTCACGACACTGTTGTAAAGAAAATATCACAATTGGCTAAAATAATGATTTAGAAAAATTATTAGTTGTATAAACTTCTATTTTCTTCATCTTCTTCAGTCCAATATATCTGAACAATGTGCTGAAGTGAATTAACGTTCAACGCTTAGATATTTAAATATATTTAAAGATAATAATCTGTTACGTTTTTAGAAAATATAATTGAGTAGTTGGACCCTTTAAAACGCTGCGTAGTTTGGAAAACAAGAATTGGGAAGTGTTCTACAATCGTATATTTACGAGTGAAATCTGCAATTAAAGTTGTTTTTCACATTACGTTTATCAATACTTGTGATACGAAATACCAAGTAAAGTTACACTGTTAGAAAAAACAAAATCATTTCACATAGGCACATTTCTGATTGACCACAAGAACAGAAAAGGGATACAACATTTTGAGAAAATTCAAAAGAATGGAATATGCCGAATTTTTGGTGGCGAGTGGCACTTACATCCATGAAACCATCTCAGTCGAAGTTAAACGAAAAGAAAAAGTGTCGGTACTGTCACACTAAAATGATAAATGTTCACAAAAAACTCAAATTTGGTAGAAACTTCACCGAGAAATAGAGGATATAAAAAGTTTTCGAATAAATCTTCTCAAGTTTTACCGAATAATTCCGCCCACTTTGTTTCGAAGTTCATACGTGACGACCCCCCAACCAGTTCATACATCATGCTTTCAATTAATTGTTATTCCTTATTCACAACCAGCAATTTAAGGAACTATTGCACAGGCGGCAGTTTATTTATATGAATGCCCATCGATATAAGAATGCCAAATAGTTAAATTAGGGTAAAAAAATACTCAAAAAAGTCATTAATAACAATAATACAGAACAACAATCTCATTTAACCTTTTTTGATTGTCTCAAATAATCATTTGTAAATATCTATATTTATTATTATTATTATTATTATTATTATTGTTATTATTATTATTATTAATACTTAGACTATAAAATGAATATCATAAATTCGGATAATTTAAAGAAAGAACGAAGCTGATAACTTCATAATCAACTTCACACCATACGATGCTAATTTTGCATTTGCATTGTTTATATTTCGGAACCTACACTACTCACTTTACTGAAAAACTGGAAAGTGCGTTTTTCGGAACTAAAAGGGTTTGTGATTATCGAACCTTCTTCTGACACGGTCCTGGCGATAAAGGGATAAGCGCGGAAGGAATGAGCAATTTTACGCTCATCAAGGCATCATCACGGGAGTCTCTGAAAGGAACGATCGGGCGGGGATCGCATCGCATCGCAGGGGACGGCCAAAGACGGTGGAATAGAATCCACTCACTGAGAGCGCTGCTGTTGTGGGATACTTTGAAGGCTGGAATTACAGGGGAAACGTGCGTCGCTCATTGATACCGTTGCGACTGTGACAGGAGTAAGTTAGTTGTTTACAATGACGGAATGTTCTTTTCGGTAAGTGTGTTATTTAACTGCATGAAGATATACGTGGCTTGTGAACCAGGAAACGCTTCGCTAGTGCAATGTATTAACTTCACCTGCTACTGGTCACGTGATTGTTAATCACTATTTACACTATGTTCTGCAAAAATTTCAATAGAGGAATGACTTTCTCGCGAGTGTGTTTACGTCTCTATCTCCGAGTCTTTCCGTCTCTCTCCCCGTCTGTCTCTGTCTCTCTGTTTATCTCTAATTCTCTCTCTTTCTCTGACTCTCTCTATTTGTTTCTCTCTCACTCTGCATCTCTCTCTGCGTCTCTCTCTGTATCTGCCTCCACCAGGCGAAATTTCACAGTCGCAGGGGCAGAATCCGCAATGAAAAGTCTTAATAATCGTACTTTAGTATGTGGTGGGTTGCATAGAGAGCACCGTGTCGTAAAACGCCCTGATCAGAGCCCTTGAGTCAACATAACATCATCATTAACGTGTGTCTATGTGCACAGGTATATTCATATCCCCATCGTACTATGCCTATATTCTTCCCGGAAGTGTAAACAATAAGTTGACAAAGTTTTATTGCAATTGGATGAATGGTACAGCAGCGCATTAAGCATGAACCAAAAACAAACAAGCATTGGTTTTATATATTAGATATAATATAGTTTGAAGATTAAGTATAAGATATTAAGTATACGTAGAAATTCATTGTTTCAAATTCAAATTCAGTTTACAAGTTCGTAAAGTTTAACTCTTCAGAACGAAATATTACGAAGGGAACATCTGTCAGCTTCCTTAATCAATAATTAATTATTATAAATATTCAAGACATTCCTCGTGAAAACTTGCATATTATTGAAGAAAAATGACAGCTCTAGTAGAAAATATGTATCTAAACATCAAACATAAACATATAATATTTTGGTTTTTCATTTTATCTTTTTTATTTATGTTACATTCCCAAATCAAAGATAATGACAAAAACGAGCGCAATTGTAGAGTCATATTTGAAACGCGCGCGCCAATCATCCACCACCAAGGTGGTCACGGTCCCTTTCAATTTATTCTCTGGGCTGAACAGTCAGTTCAGAGAATCGTAGGGGCTCGGGGACGGCACTGCGCGGCGCGGCAAAAAAGAAGTTGTTTCCAAAAAGGTTAACTTTGATTTTCATATAAATTTTTAATTCTGTTATATGTAAAAGTAGCTTATGCAATTATTATTCTTTTATAATGGTGCTTCATTGCATTAGTACAAAACATGTACTCATTTCAATAAATGCTTGACATGAACTACTTGCACAATATAGTTTTAGAGCATGTTGGGGAGCTGAAGAAGGCCACAATTTGCTAATGAAGATCTGGAAGGAAGCTTCACGCCACATATATTACAACGCCTTTGATTAGTAGGCAACTGTAGGGTCAACCTTTGAGAACCAACCAAATAAGACGAGGCACTCACTTGAAAGACGTCGTCGCTGGTGTCGTGGTTCGCCTCCCACTCGGGCGAGTCGATGAATTGGTGCGGCGAGATGTAGTGCAGATGCGTGTCATCGCACGTCACTCGCAGCCTGCAACACAAAGCAGAGAGTGCTGCTCAGCGGCCGCCACCCAACACGCGCCCACGCACGAGCATCGCACGCGCCCACGCAACCGCACACGCACGCGTCCGCGCTCATGCACCCGCCAACGCACGCGCCCACGCACGTGCCTATGCACGCGATCACGCACGCGTCAACGCACTCAGCCCACAATCGCGCCGACGCAAGCGTTCACGAACGCGCCTACTCACGCACCCACGCACTCGACTCACGCAAGCGCCGACACACGCGCCGACGCATGCGCCCACCCACGCACCCATGCACGCGCCCACGCACGCACCCACGCATTCAGCCCACGAACGCACACACGCACGTGCCCACGTGCGCACACACGCACGCGCGTATGCACGAGCTCACGCACGCGCCTACTCATGCGCCCACGCACACTCCCACGCGCGCGCCTACGCAAGCGCCCACACATGTGTCCATGCTCGTGCCCACGCTCGCGCCACGCACGCGCTTACGAATGCGTCCAATCACGCGCCAACGCTTGTGCTCACGCACGCGCCCACCAACGAGCCCATGCAAGCGTATACGCACACGCCCACGCTCGCGCCCACGCCCGCGTCCACGCACGCGCCATCACACTCGCCCATACTTGCGCCCGCACGCGTTGAGGGCTTTGGCTGGGAGCACTCCACGCAATCCGCCCACCACTCCACACGAGAGCCCTCGCAGCAGCGCAGCACTCGCACGAAGTTTAGTCTTTTTGGGGGTAAAGTGGATTCATCACAAGCACAATCAAACAATCACAATGCCACTTTCACTACTATGCAGAGTGGATCAAATAAATGTTAAAACCGTTTTTTGTACTCCAGCGTTGTAAATGACCTTTCTTGTTAAAATAAATGGTTCATAAAATGACATCTTATGGCATAGATTATGACGTATTTCCCGTTTATGGCACGAATTATTGCGACACGCATTCAGCCAATCGAGGCGATAGAATTGTGGCTTTGTAGCGGTAAACAGAGCAACCGACTACAGTTTTTTTTCGCACAGACGTCGACTGCCTGTGACGGCACAATAAGATTATATCTAAAAAATAACTTTGATTCTCTTTTAAATTTATAATTCTGCCATAAGAAAATTGTGATACGTTAGAGCTTATTCAACTCGTTCATAACATTGCTTTACTTTATTTCTTCGAACAAACCATGTAGTCATGTTATCATGCATTATTTGCGTAATATATTATTATAGTATGTTGGGAAGTTGAAGATTGCCTCAGTTTGGTAGTCAATATCTGGTAGGAAACTTCACATGTCAAAGAAACACATGATGCACTTCTGATATCACACTTCAGATTGGTAGGCATCTATGGGATCTACCTTTATGTCATCTACTTCTACAACATTAAATAAGAATTCAATAAATGAAATAGCATATTTAAATGTGTTAATAAATTCATGAGCGTTATCCACAATAACAGTCGGTAACATTTTGATCCAGAATAACTATAATATTCTTTATATTGACTAGAACTTTAGACTACATGTATGTTAAGTTTTTCAATTGTATTGTGAATAATAAATTTTCTTCTCTAGGCAATTGCGAAGTTCCAATAGAAAAGGGTAGCAACTAGGATGTTGGGTACCATGATGCAATGTCACCACAACTTATTTAATACTACTCGAGATTGGCAGATACACGAACACTCTGGTCACCCATTTGATGGAAATGGTAAGTATGTAGAGGATTTGTTACTATTGTTGCTTTAACTACATCTCAACATGCATCGTCGTTAGAATGAATGGGTTAGACATCATGGCCGCCGTATAGTGAAATTTGGTGTGGCCATCAGGTTATGCATTCTGATATAACTGTCAGTTTTTTCGAGTTAAAACTGAAACTGGGATTTAAAAGTAAAATAATTAGCCATTAAGATTGAGTTAAGAAAGAAATATGAACCCTTTGATGTAGTCTTCATGACTGGAAGCTGTAGTTGATTTTGATCTATTGATTGAGATCTCGCGAGGTAAAATAAACACGAAACGAGCTAAACAAACTTTAAAATCTTTAGCATTGCAACGTCCTATGTATACGAGACTATATTTTACTGAAGACGATTTTGGCGAAAACGCAATAGCACCGGAGAAAAGATTGTGAGACTCTCCGAACAAACGAAGAGTCTCCGTTCAAATATTACCAAATCTGAATCACCCGTGGCGCACCTTTTCACATGCACTCGACGCAAGGGTTCTTACGTCACCGGCCAGGAAACGAATTTCCATTAACTGTCGCAAAGTGGAGCTAACAAATCAAAGTCAAGGGAAACGAAGAGAAATGTAAGGTGCTTTGGAGTTATGTAAGTTAGGTGTTAGGTGAATTTTTGTTTGGAATAATTAAAAGGTACGGGCTGATTTTTTTAGCTTTTCAGCCCCAACCCCGGCTGAGATGGCTCAGGGCATCAGATGATGTCACTGCAGTGCCTCTGATCGAAAGGTACTAAGGTTCAAGAAGTACAGTGTCAGGATTTCCGTCACTACCTAAATAGCTAGGTCCAATAATACTGTCAATGTCTGGAGAGTCAGATAAGTTCAACGAGGGAATTAAAAATTTCTTTGTGGTAACTTGTCTGATTTTTACAGTTATTTCAATACTTAACGAATTTATTAAACTAAGAAAGTGACACAAACGATGTATGAAGTGGCAAATTACTAAGATTAAGTTAATATACTGTGATAGTAAGTCACAAAAATGAGGGGATTCACAAAACGTAAGGATTCTTTGATCTACCTTAATAGTAAAAGGCAGTTCCTCGAACTTATAAGTTGATCCAACAAAATAAATTATTAAATAATTCGTAAATGAGAAATTAGTTTGTTTTTAGAGAAAATAGTTCTCACAAGATATCATTGAGAAGAAAACCAATGGTATGATATTAATGAATAAGCAATCACTAGAAACTTCATAATATGATTAAACCAACTTGGGAATAATAAAAAAAATAAAGAAAATTGAAAAATTCGGGCTTGGGAGTCGTAAATAAGAAATTTGTGATTGGAAAGACGATTTTCTTTGTTTTATTTCTTGTCTATAAAATATATATTAAATAAGTTAAATTGAACTAACGGTTTGGCAAATAATTGGAAATTTCACTAGTCGCTGGGCCAATGTGTACATTGAATTGTAAAATATCTGAAAATGGTGTAGCTAATGGTTCACGTGACAGACCTCCGGGTACTAATCTTCTTCGGGTATAAATCGTTGCACAGACGTTGCGTACAAAACTCTTCCAAGTGAGTGTAATCTAATTTCACACCTATTTGTTAAAGGAGTTACTCTTAAGGGAAAAGCGTTCGTGCTAGTTCAGCCGGTATGCTGGCGCCGCATGAAAGCGCAAATATACTACTAGTGTCACGACGGAGATTGTGCACGAGTTAATTGAAACTGCTCCTCGATTTGATCAATTATGTGAGTAAAAATTATACTTTACTTCCTTAAAAACGAATTCGTTATGGAGGTGACGTTTTTTACATTCAATACTAAATGATACAATATATTCACATCATAAAGTACACGCTAGTTTCATAGACTTTTAAATGGAAGTTACCAATAAGTAGTGTTGACCGCTCAATTGCTTCACATTTAGCGCCTTGTTTTTTAATAGGGCTCTTTTGATGTTTTTTGAAGGCGTATCAGAAGAAAGGATCATATATTTCAAACTTGGCGTTCTCGAGGTAGCTTAATTTTACTTAAAAAGGCCGCGCAAATTTCTTCCCTGTCGACCAAATACTCACTTCTTTCGTACAAAGTTCCTTGACGTAGATTGTCAACCGCTTTCTGTTAGTTCGGAGCGTCACCGAAAGATCGCATCAGCTCCGGGGCAGCCACGCATTGTCAAAATACGGAGAAATCGCCGATTACTACCTCAGACGCCAGCTCGCGTTGTCATCAGAGGCGAAGTGCAGAAAGCTTAGTAAAAACGTGTTGGACGCTATCAAGGTTCGATTCAAGATGTGCCAGGCACTTGGATGCAGTCGTATCACGAAGTAAAACGACGAAATTCGTAAAGAAACATTTGATTTCGTCTAGACAGAGGTAACTGTGACAATCTCTTCAATACTCGTTAATCCTTTCTCCAAGTAACAATCCTTGTCAATTGTGTCTCTTTTCCAGAACTCTCTTGTCTGATGAAAAACTGATGGAAGAGGCGATGTTTCGTTGCAGCTTCTACTAATTGCTCTCCCAACTTACTCTACGAGTATTTCGCCGCCTCAAGAAGTAGATTTAATTCAGGAAATACATAAGATACTAATATCCTTTAAGGTATTGTGTTTATTTTAACTAAAAAATTAGTTGCGCGGGGTTCCCGGGTTTATGTTGTTGGTGTCTTCGTGGTATTTTTTAAATTCATAACAATCGTTGGTGTCGATTACAGCGTCTGAAACTACCTTAAATTATAGAAAATGTGATATATCCAATGAACGTTTGAGATATTCAGTAAAAATACCAGCAACAATTGGGAATGTGCCAATTATGAGCATATAAATAGAAGAAAAGTTCTTATTTACTTTCAGAATTTTTAGCACAAATTTGAACTTTACTATTTACTGGTATTGATGTTTTTCTTAGTACATATTTGGAAATATCTGTCTTTATGTAGTATATCATTCAATAATTAAACATATGGCGTATTATTTATTTTAAATGGTTAATAATAGGATACCTGGAGAACTTCGTGACTAATAATATGCGTATTTTGGTGCAACTACGTGACGGTGGTTTTAAAGTGAGTTTAAATGTAAATAAAATGTGATAACACACGTTATTGAATCGTGGTATGTTTTAAAATAAATATTGTTTAAAAGGTTTCACAAAAAATCTTCCGCAGATCGTAACGCTGTCGTTTCAAGACCTTTCAAAACAGTTTCCGCGGGTGCCCGCGAGGATTTGAGAAAACATCGGTCACTGACCCTCTTTATCTCTTACGTCCCCTCCCTCTCTCGAGGCGCTTCGCCCACGTG